TTGCACATATAAACATACGTTAAATGGATACAATTTCAGAGTGCAACCCGTTCTTGCACACAGCTATATACCCTAATTACAGTAAATATAACAGTGTAACCCGTTTTTGTACACATCTATATACACTTGATATATGCACTAAAAGAGTGTAACCCGTTTTTGCACACATAAATACATTGAAATGATTCAATTAAAGAGTGCAACCCGTTTTTGTACACACCTATATAGCCAAAAAAGATTGTACAGGTATATAAAATTGTAACCAGTTTTTGCACACACCTTTATACCGTACAGAGATTCAAATCAAGAGTGCAACCCGTTTAAGTACACATCTATATTCACTTGATACATATAATTTTAAGAGTGCAACCCGTTTTTGCACACGTATAAAAATCGTATATAGAATTCAACCTGTTTTTGTATTTTAAGAGTGCAACTCGTTTTTGTACACATCTATATAGCCAGAATAGATTATTTATAAGAGCGTCACCTGTTTTTGCACACAGCTATATACCCTAAAAACAGTCAATAATCACAGTGTAACCCGTTTTTGTACACATCTACATATATATTAAACACGTTAATTGGAATAAATTAAAGTGTGTAACCAATTTTTGCAGATACGTATTTACTTTTCTTCATTTTAAGAGTGCAACCCGTTTTTGTACACATCTATATAACTTAAATACCTTATATAGATTAAATTTAAGAATGCAACCCCTTTTTGTACACACCGATATAGCCAAAATAGATTGTATACATTGTATAAGTGTGTAACCCGTTTTTGCACATACCTATATAGCCAAGAAAGATTGTATATAAGACATAAGACTGTAACCCATTTTTGCACACACCTGTATACACCAAAGAGATTCAATTAAGAGTGTAACCCGTTTTTGCACATACAAACATACGTTAACTGGATTCATTTCAAGATTGCAGCCAGTTTTTGTACACATCTATATGGCCACAATAGATTCTTTCTAAGAATGTTACCCGTTTTTGCACACACCTATTTACCCTAACAACAGCTAATTTAACAATGTTACCCGTTTTGTACACATCTATATACCCTTGATAAATGCACTTTAAGAGTGCAACACGATTTTGCAACACGATTGTATTTAAGTGTATAACCCGTTTTGCACACCTATATACCCTAACAACAGTTAATTTAACAGTGTAACCCGTTTTTGTACACATCTATATACACTTGATACATGCATTTTAAGAGTGCAACCTGTTTTTGCACACGGAAAAATACTTGATATAGATTAAATTTAAATATGCAACAGGTTTTTGTACACACCTCTTTAGCCAAAATAGATTGTATATAAGTGTGTAACCCGTTTTTGCACACACATATATACCCCAAAGAGATTCAATTAAAAGGGTAACCCGTTTTTGTACATACATTCATACAAAAATATATACATACGTTAAATGGATTCAATTACAGAGTGCAACCCGTTATTGTACACACCTACATAGCCAAAATAGACTCCACGTAAGAATGTAACCCATTTTTGCACACATAAATACGTTGAATTGATTCAATTTAAGAGTGCAACCCGTTTTTGTACACAATTATATAGCCAAATATATTGTATATAAGAGTGTAACCCGTTTTTGCACACACCTATATACCTTAAAGAGATTCAATTCAAGAGTGCAATCCGTTTTTGTACAAACCTACAAAGATATTGTATATAAGAATGTAACTCGTTTTGTACTTGATACATGTAACTTTAAGAGTGCAACCCGTTTTTGTACACAGCTATATAACCAAAAAAAAAAAAAAGATTGAGTATTAGAGTGTAACTCGTTTTTGCAAACACCTTTATACCGTAAAGAGATTCAATTATAGAGTGCAACTCGTTTTTGTACAAATATTTATACACTTGATACAAGCAATTAAAAAGTGCAACCCGTTTTTGCATAAGTATAAATACCTAATATAGATTAAATTTAAGAATGTTACCCGTTTTTGCACACATCAATATACCCTAAAGTTTTTCAATTTAAGAGTGCAACATGTTTTTGTACACATATGTATACATTTGATACATACAATTTAAGAGTGTTACCCGTTTTTGTACATACATATATACCCTAATAAGAATCAATTTAAGAGGGCAACCCGTTTTTGTACACATCTACATGTATATACATTTGATAATTACAATTTAAGAGTGTAACCTGTTTTTGTACACATCTGTATACACTTGTTAATTACAATTTAAGAATGTAACCCGTATTTGGACACATTAATATAGCCTAAAGAGATTCAATTTAACAGTGTAACCCATTTTTGCCCACATCAATACCCCTCAAGAGATATTTAAGAATGTAACGCGGTTTTTGCACATACTTATATTCCCTAAAGAAATAAAATTTAAGAATGTAACCCTTATTTGTACACATCTATAAACACATTTGTACACATCTATATACACTTGACACATGCATTTTAAGAGTGCAACCTGTTTTTGCACACGTATAAATACTTGATATAGATTAAATTTAAATATGCAACAGGTTTTTGTACACACCTCTATAGCCAAAATAGATTGTATATAAGTGTGTAACCCGTTTTTGCACACACCTTTATACCCCAAAGAGATTCAATTAAAAGTGTAACCCGTTTTTACATACATTCATACAAAAATATATACATACGTTAAATGGATTCAATTACAGAGTGCAACCCGTTTTTGTACACACCTACATAGCCAAAATAGACTCCACGTAAGAATGTAACCCATTTTTGCACACATAAATACATTGAATTGATTCAATTTAAGAGTGCAACCCGTTTTTGTACATACCTATATAGCCAAAAAGGATTGTATATAAGAGTGTAACCCGTTTTTGAACACACCTTTATACCTTAAAGACATCCAATTCAAGAGTGCAATCCGTTTTTGTACACATCTATATACACTAAATATATACAGTTTAAGAGTGCAACCCGTTTTTGCATACGTATAAATACCGTATATAGATTAGATTTAAGAATGTAACCTGTTTTTGTACATACATAAACACGTTAATTAGAATAAATAAAAGAGTGTAATCCGTTTTTGCACATACAAAAATACCCTAAAACAGTTAATTTAACAGTTTAACCCGTTTTTGTACACATCTATACACACTTGATATATGTATTTCAAAGTTCAGCCCGTTTTTGTACACGTACAAATACCTTATATAGATTAAATTTAAGAATGCAATTCGTTTTTGCACACACCTATATACCCTTACAACTGATAATTAAACAGTGTAACCCGTTTTTGTACACATCTATATACACTTGATACATGCACTTTAAGAGTGCAACCTGCTTTTGCACACACGTTTAAATATCTTCTACAGATTAAATTTAAAAATGCAACAGGTTTTTGTACACACTTATATAGCCGAAATAGATTGTATATAAGTGTGTTGCCCGTTTTTGCACACACCTATATACCCAAAAGAGATTCAAATAAAAGTGTAACCCGTTTTGTACATACGTTAAATGGATTCAATTTCAGAGTGCAGACCATTATTGTACACACTTACATAGCCAAAATATACACTACGTAAGAATGCAACCCGTTTTTGCACACGTAAAAAATACCGTATATAGAATAGATTTAAGAATGCAACCTGTATTTGTACATACATAAACACGTGAATTAGAATAAATAAAGATTGTAACCGTATATACATTTGATACATGTACTGTTAAGTGCAGACCGTTTTTGCACACGTATAAATACCTAATATAGATTAAATTTAAGAATGCAACCCGTTTTTGTACAAACCTATATACCCTAACAACGGTTTTTTTAACAGTGAAACCCGTTTTTGTACACATACAAAATGTATATATATACTTCAAACATGCACTTAAAGAGTGCAACCCGTTTTTGCACACATATAAATGCCTTATAAACATTAAATTTAAAGATGCAACAGGTTTTTTGTACACACCTATAGATATACCCTCACAACTGATAATTTAACAGTCCAACCCGTTTTTGCACACACATAAATACCTTATATGGATTAAATTTGAAAATGCAACAGGTACACACCTGTATAGCCAAAATAGATTGTATATAAGTGTGTTAACCGTTTTGGCACACACAAATATATACGCCAAAGTGATTCAATTAAAAGTGTAACCCGTTTTTGTACATACATACATACATACATACATGCATACATACATACACGCACGCACGCACGCACGCACACACGCACGCACACAAACTACACGCACACACACACGCACCAATACATACATACACACATACGTTAAATGCATTCAATGTTTACTTTGCGCTAGTTCTTTCAACATAACATGTTCATGCAGCAAACATTTGCGAAATTATAACCTTAATTCTTTAATTCTTACATTGCATATTTGTAAAAAAAGTGAATCGGTACAATCCCACTGCAAACAGTATACAATGTTATAATTATAATAGATAGATATTATTCAGAAGAAATGGTTATCGTTTCCTCCGCTTGTAAAATATAAACATGAACGTTAAATAATAAGATTGAATCACATGGTTGTTCATATAAAAACATTTGGAATAACCCTTTAGGCTTAAGAATAACAAAGGAGAACAAACACAACAACAACATGATGTTGTAGCTCGAATGATGTATATAAAAAAGCAATATCTTTAATTTGAATGCATGCACGACATATAATGAAATGACACGGAGCGTCCATGGCCAAGTGGCAAAGTACTTGCCCTTCCCCGCTATTGGTTCGAATTCCGCAAGGACATTTTTGATTAATTCGTGTGAAGAAACTTTCAAGTTAGCTAACGGAAACTGGGTTGTTCTTCTTAGCCCGTTGTGCCTGAATAATAAACGGAGACCAAAGATAGTCCTTCCGCAGTAAAGCTGAAAAGTCCCATATAAACTATAAAGTGTTTAGACGACACAAACCAAAACACACAAAAAACTCATAAAATTCGCATTCCTTTCTTGCAGAGTGTCTTCCTTTAACAATTGCCAATGGATTAAGAATAACTTGTAATACAACTACTGATTTAAAGCGATGCACTGTATCATGTGATGATGGTCTTTATTTTCCGATTCCACCCTTGCCATACTATGAATGTGGAGTTGCCACTGGTTACAAATGGAATCATCAGACCAAAAATAATCCTACTGCAAGGCTTCCCTCATGCACAGGTACGTTTGTTCTTTAATGTATTCTTTATCTTTGTATCCCAAACAATATACATGATTTAGCTGGCTAAAAACCTGTATCTGTTTATTTACTAATTAGTTAAATTAAGCAGCATATTTCAGATGCAAAAAATCTAAAAATCTGAGAGCATACTTTAACGAACACCTGGGAAAATTACTTTGTTACAAATGTTTATCAAACACATTTAGGTGTATTTGTAAACATTTACCTTATGTCAGTAGGTTCACCTTATACTGACGCTGATCAAATAGCCCTTCCAATGATCTAATGTTAGTAATAAGACAAGTGAAAGAACAGAACTAAAGTGCAATGAAGATTAGGACCGTGAACAATTCAAAGTACTCGTCATATCAAGCAAATAAAGTCTTTCTGAGCAATCCTTAACAAAGATAATTTATGTTTCTTTTACTGCATGGAAAGACACGTTTCAAAATTGTCAAATGTCTTTTCCAGAGATAGAAATACCAAAAGCAATAGGTGTAGACTTCGAAGGACATTATACAACTATGCCGTGTACCCCTGTTAATATAAGATCTCTTAAAGGACAACTTGAAAGTAAACTTTCAAAAGTTGAATGCTTAAGAGACGGAATCTGCAAAACTGACGTGCTCCCGAAATGTAACAGTTCTGCACAGTATGTGTCAGTGGTTGTAAGTCTAAAAGCACCTGAAAATTACACGAACTGGGGTATCAATGTAACAAAAATAAACGGAACAAGTAAGTAACTATACGATTTTATTTAAACAGAACATTGTAAAATACAACCAAATAATATAAGTAGGTTATGACAGTTTTGTTTTCATCGGGTTCATTAGCTAACAAATCAATCAAATATGTCTTACGATGCACGACAGCGTTTCTTAAATGATTTTTGACATGTGTTATATAAGTTATTACATTTTTGAAAAATTGGAACAATAGATATCAAATTATGAAACTTGCCGGCGTGGCCGAGTGGTTAACGCGTCGGACTAGTAATCTAAAGATTGCGTTGGTTCAAATCCTTTCAGGGGCAAGCCGTTGTTCCTTAAGCAAGAAACTTTACATTCATTGCTTAGTACTGGTTGGTTCTAGGAACGGATTCGAGAGTGTTTCAATAAGCTTAAAGCTTCCAACACAATCGAACTAAAATAAATTTGTATAAACTAAACTTGACATTTTAATTATGCAGACAAACAACAACATTTAGCATTATCTGAGTGTATTGTTTTGAAATAAAAATTTGAGAATAATAATTTATATTCAATAAATCTGATTCAATCCCTATTTTAAGCATCTTGATCTAATTGTTGTGCATTTGGATTTGCCCTTGATCGTCCGTTCTTATGTTGTATCACATGTAGCTCTTAAAGTGCTTAAGCTAGAGTCAACAAAATTTACAGCAATGTTGTTCAGCATGTGAAACTGTGCATGTGGGGTTTTGTGTGTTGATTGATTCAATTTTGTCAGAGTAATTGCCCTTAACTTAGTAAAAATGGGCAATTTTCAATTTGTATCGTGTGTAGCTTAAAAAAGGATTTGATCTGGAGTCATGAAACTGTAAAGAAATGTAAGTCGGCATGTTAAGTTCTGCATCTAGAGATTTATTTTTGAATTTATATATTATATTTGGAGTTATTGTTCTTGACTCAGGTTTTTTTGCAATTTTCATCTTGTGTCGCGCGTAGCCAAACAAATATAGAGTCATCAAACTTTATAGAAATCAATTGTCAGCATGTGCACCTGCGGATTTGATTGAGGATTTATTTAGTAGTTGTTACGTTATTGCCTTGAATAAAGTAAAAAATTTGCAATTATTCAAACTGTGTGCGTGCCGACGATCATGAAAATTAACTGAAATGTATTCGTAAGAAATTATGGATAGTTGTGCATTTACTGGGTGTTTGTTTGATATATTGAATATCAATTCTATGGGTAATTCGACCTCGTATAAGTAAAGAACGTTCCAAATGTTGTGTATAATGAACATGGTAAACTTGCTCGAACTAGAATCACAACTGTACAGGGATGTTGATAACACATATGAATGCTGTGCACGACATTTTGGGTTTTGGCATGTGTTTGTTCAGCTGTGTTAAGTTATGGCCAGATTGTTCTCTTATAATAGAGACTTTGAATTTAAATTGTTCGTCTTCATGTATTCGACCTAAAGTAGTCGAATTTGATAAAAAAGGTGGATGTGGGCGGAACCCGTGTCATATGAACACATTTCTGTTTTTTGTTTTTTTTTAATGAAGACAAATCTTTTAGCTTTACAGGAATGCGCAACCATTTAGTAAATATAATAAATATGTCAAATTGAATCATATATATAATATTTCACTATTGAAAGACACACAGGGTTTATAATGTCATAAATTAAGAAATACACTAAATTAGGTAGAACCCATCCACAAATTCATTTTGATTATATGATTTGTTTTTGAAGCTTCACCACAGAGTTTAGTGGATTTTGAGCAACGCGCGATTGAAATAGAAACATCGGCAAATTACGTTATGAACAACTCTGCGCATGTTTTTCACGTAGTAATAGATGGAACCAATCATTCACTTTCTGGAGGGGAACAGATGCTGAGTCATGAATCAACAATGCAATGCGTTCCGGGTACAGCTCCTATAGAAATGTTCTGTGGTATGTGCACATTTTATGGTATTATAGAAAATAGCTGACGCTAGACGATGTTAGAATAGCCTCAACACCGACATATGCACCTTAGATAAATCATCTTTACAAAGTGACTGAAACAAAATGTTTTTTGATAGCTGTTTTTGTTATACTATTCAGTAATATTAAGTAAATTTAATGAAAATACTATAATTTTGCAATTAAATTATAAACAATATTGCGTTTGTGAAGGGAATGATTAGACCTGCAAGGACAGGGCGAATTTTGACTCAATGCTTTAGTTTGAATAATTCTAATAGAGGTTCACTAGACAATGCTTCATGCTAAATACCCTTGTAGATTTGAAAAAGAAGATCTTTAAACGTTTTACATTATACATACAATGAAAACACATTTAGCGGGTCAAATTTAAGCCCAATGGCTATAGTATGAACAATCTTGGTAATCGCTATTTGCCACCGCATCAAAGATGCTGTGCCGGCATAAATAGGGTGTTTTTCCCTTACTCTTACATATAATAAAGCAAAGTTAACATTATTTTATCTTCAGCGGCACGTCCTCCTGTGACGGGGTAATCTCTTATTGCACGGAATGTAAAAGAGGCTATTACCAAAAGGTTTCAGGCCAATCAACTTGCAAACAGTGCCCGCCTGGTACAACAACAACTGGAACGGGTTCAACTGAATGTGCGAGGGTACCGATGTAACGTTATCAACACACGAACTTAACAATGGCAACGATTTATACATGCTTTTTATAACATGCCTGTGATTTTGTTCAAATGTTTTGAAAATCCTTCAAACGTGTTAGATATTTGCAAAGTATTTATTTCATTTCTTACAATACACTGACAATATTTTTTATTTTCGGATATATTCAACAAATAGAGAAAGATCGACAAAATATACATATGTTTATTTTGGTTTGTCAGCTCTTTTTTTTTTAAAAGTGAAGTGTTGAAATTATTTACAGAATTGATGTAAAGAGACCATTATTTGAGTATCTAATTTAAGGCTTCATAGAAGTAACAGTTTCAATTTCCATGAAACAGGTTAGTTGTATGGAGAATAAACGGTAACTGAGGGTTATTTATGTGGGTCAAAATTCTTAATATATACAAAAATGATTAAACAATTTAAGCAAATCTGTCATTTAGTGTACAGGTTATCTCTCTTAAAGAAGTATAAGTGATTTACCAATAAATAAAGCTTAAATACCTGTTTAGATACCTGCTATACTTTTGCAATTGAGCCAAATACATAAATCAAGAATACAAAGTTACAAAGAACAATTCCTCCAAAACTATGCAATAGAGTTATTGGTTGTGTACACCACACTTTTTCCTCAATGAAATCTATTTATCTTTGAAGTTACAACCAATACATTTTTGGTCATACCTCTGAGGAAAAAAGGCAAACTTCCTTTTGCAGTTACTGTGCTCATTCATTGCACTTCTCTAAAACTAGATATATCTATTTATGAAGTCAAAAGCTTTATCATATATTAAATAATGACTCACATTTGCTACGAAATGCTGCATGCCAAATAACTAGTTAATTCACAGAAGAAGACTAAAATGTGTTAAATATAAATTAATCTATACAAAACTAAGCGACCCCATGGTGATGTCAATTTTGATCCCTGCGGCATAATTTATAGAATATTTGTAGAAAACTTCAAGTTGATGCTACATCATCATCCGGCACCCAAACAGCTATGTTCTAGTTATTTTAAGTTTATGAGAATAAGATTTTTAAAGATTTATGAGACATATTTACCATATAAGTCTAAATAAACTAAATGACACTCGGGGCCCGGAACATGATTTATATAATTTTTATTTTGGACCACATGGTGATGTTTCATGCAAAATATCCATACTCTAGGCATTTAAATTCAGAAGTGCAAGAAAATAGAAATCAACTCCTGTTTAAATTTAAAATTATTTTGTTTCATTAAAAAGCACAACGTTTTGACAACGTTTTTCAGGTAAACCAGTTTCAGAGAAGAATCTTTTAGACATATTTTATATATAACTCTATGTAAACAAAGTTTCCCCAATGATAGGGCAATCATTTGGGCGGGTTCAATTTTGGTCTCAGGAAGCCAAAACCTACGCACTGCACATCTGCATTCATTATAGAGTGTAGGTAATATATCTGCCAAAAAGATTTAATTTCTTTCTATCGGTTCAAAAGATACAGAGCGGACAGGAATTTTTTTACAAAAATGACATTGACCTGAGAAAGGTCAAATCTGCGCTCTGCATTTCGTCTCACAGTTAACATTTCTACCAAGTATTTTAAATTTCCTTCCACCAGTTCAAAAGATACAACCCGGGCAGAAAACTGCTAACAGATTGACGGACGACCAGATGCTTAACATTTTACGTCGACATTTGTTTCGGGTGTATGATAAGATGACAATAATATGGCATTGGATTGCTCACCGAAGATACATAGTTAGAAAAGGCCACAACTCTTAAATGCAGAAGTACAAAACTAGTACACAATAAATGTGTCATTTTATACCACCAACTGCATAATTTATAAAACAGTTGCAGACATTGATTGGGAAATACTTGATGTTAAATATTTAAGTTTGGCACACAAGAAGACTTAAATTGTTTACACATGTACTATATATCTATTTTAATTATATGACCCCATAGCCAGCAAAATTTTAATCCCAAGATCATGATTTATATAACTTTAGTAGATGGCCACTAGGTGATGCTACATGCCAAATACTAGTATCTGTTTCATTATAGTGTCTGAGAATGATTTTTTAGGGTTTCACTTTTAAAGACTATATTTAACTCTTGTCAGTTGTAAATAATTAACTGACGTACAAACACATATAACAAACACACGTCAATCGCTATATGCAATGCACCACAGAGGTTGCATTAGCGTAAAAAGGTTCACCAACGCCGGCGCCACCCAGTGGGTCATGGCAATAGCTCCATTTTTTCATACAATAGAAACATTCATACCCGTAAACCCGTTATTACAAAACCAACCCTTTGCAGTAACGAACCAGAGTACAATTATCTAAAATCCAATCCATTTTATAGTTTAGTTTGAGACGCTGGCGAAAACTTGAGCATTACAATGCAGTGCCGGTGCTCTTTTTTCCATACTTCCCATAGCCATCAAAATGTTTCAAGCGCCTTACCAAGGTATCACCAAATCTGCCATAAAACTCTTCTTAATCTGGTCAATGACACATTATGAGAGCTTTTGAAATATAAGGTGTTCCTGTCATTTACAGTCAAACGTGTATTAAGCGACGCGCAAGGGAAACACCTAAATGGTCGCTTAAAGAATTCTCTTAAGACAAAGCATGAGAAAAAAAGTAAAACATTTACAAATGACATATTTCATTGGCGGTGGGGAAGTTTTTTTTAACTTCATTTATATATGTTTAAAAATTATAACGCTATAACGCTGTATATTGTTACATCTTACCAGATTCGTGCTTTTTATGAAAATTTAGAAAATCAATTTAAAGGTAAAACATTGTAAACTAAGAACGAAAATTACACATTGCAAACCGATAATCTACATTATTTTACCAAAAGAGGTCAAAATATGCAGAAAAGTAAGTCACGGAGTAGAAGTATGTTGATTAATATTGCAAAATCAATCATTAATCGCTCATAATATGTAAATATGACCATTTAAATCTTATTACTTTTCTGAAAACTTCAAACCCCAGAAGGGGCAATTTTTTATTCTTTCTTTTTTTTCTTTTTAACATTTTTTATTAATCTCTCCGAACCCCTATGGAAGAAAAAAGTGTTTTATTTTAATTATATAATTATTGTAGGTATTTATTTACTAAATAATGCCAAATTTAATAGCAAATATGATACCAGATATTTTCAAAGTTTAATAAAATAAAAACTAAACGGTAAAAGTATTTTGTATTTTGCAAGACCAACCAATATACATTAAAGAAAATTTAGGCAAACTTTGAAAATAGCCCCTCATTTTGGAAAATTTTAGGGATATTTTAAATAAGGCTTTTTACATAGGGAAATGGTCAAATTAGTGTTAAAAGTGGGTGGGGTAGGGTTACATTTTTATACATATTAAAAACATTTCGTTTAAAAACAATCCTTTTGCTTGTTTAATTTGTTACCTAAATGTCATTATTTATTTCTTAACAATGAGCAAAAGGAAAACATTTTTCATAATGATGATATTATAGATTATTTAGAGTTTCATAATTTCTGAAAAAATCCCTTCTAATGGCAAAGTTTTAGTTCATAAAAATGTAACTCATTAATCACACGGTAAATTTTGTTTAAATTTTGCATACATGTGCCATTTAAGGCATATAACAGTCCTATGTTGTCAAATTTACAATACCTTATAGTAGTCATTAGGGGTGTACTACCTTAAAGTGTATTTGATTTTAATCTGAATCGCTGTTTAGATGAAAAAAGGTGGAAAAATAATTTGTTTCATCATAAAAGGGACCATTTCATCGCTAAATTCGGTATCTGGGAAACGCCGCCATAAATACATTTCAAACACAAACATAACAACTAAAAGTTTTCTGGAAATGTATATCAAATCTACATTGCATAGCCGAATTCGAATTTCGAGATTTGGTGTAGAGTTTACAAAATATATTTTAAAAAATGACCACCCTTTACCTTTGATGACACCTGATTTTAGCGACATGCACTAGTTCGGAAGTAGCGATAGAGCAATTTACCATAAACTTCCGAAAGAGATAGCTCTTTCGTTTACCAGGCGTGAAAAGTTGTGACAAAAACTGTCAGAAATGAAATAGCTGCGTGACAGACGCTATTTATCATATAATTTTAATGAGTATGTATTGATCTAAAATGTCTTTTTTTATATTTTCTATGCGTTGGAAATTATACGCCTGACCCTTATACCTGTTACCCGGCCCTCACACATGTTACCTGACATAATTTAAATGTCAGATAAGAGAACCGTTTTGTTCTATGACGCTACCTGAGTTTTCAAGCTAATAAATAATTTGGAGAGCATTCTGGTTGGAGACCTGTGGCATCGCAATT